CTCTGTATGGAGTCAAATGGAAGAAGCTGGTATTTGGGAGCCCCGGCCCAGAGATGGGAGCAGTACTCCACGCGAGGCCGGACTTGTGCTTTATAAAGCAAAAGTCTTTGTCCAGGCGTGAAGTACCGCTTCGCTCTGTTGAGGACTCCCAGCATTTTGGACGCCAACTTGGCTTTGCCTTCCAAATGACTCCGAAACTGGACATCGCTCGAAATGTCGACCCCAAGTATCCCGATACTCTCGGAAGGTTGCAGGGATACTCCTTGGAATTGCGGCGCCATGACAAAGGGGTCCTTCTTCGCAGTGAACTTTCTTAATAAACTAAATGATGTGTGTGTTTCAAAGTCCAACTTATGATTATTGACCTGGTTTTTTTTATAAATATGTATGTGCAATTGTGCATCATGGTCTACAGGACTCGCCCAGTGTACTCGTATCGAGCGATACGGCTGTACCTGTATTGAAATTCTGTACATAGGTATTAATTTTTGTAATGAGATACATACTTAACATATTATTAAGTTCACAATGGACATTCACGATGCAGGAAGAGAATCATATCGTTTAATAAAAATCAATCGCACAATAATTGTATTTTCAACCCAGCAGCTCAAACATGCCGCTTTTGCTGCGAGACACCAGTGAACAAAACGCGATTTTGATTCGAGCGTGGGGTCAAAGTAGCTTTCCCCCCCCCTAACCCAACCCTCCTCGGTGTTTTCCGAGCGCTATGATATGTCCTTCTTCAAACGAGGCTTGCAGAGAGTACTTTATGGTAGGCAGCGGCTTGGCTCTGCCCCCGGCATTGCTGACGTCCATGAGCGACGGTAACCACTTACCATCAGGTGGGCCGTATGCTCGTCTGCCTACAAAGGCAATAAAAAAAAAAACCTTTTTAATTTTTCAATCTTCAGTGCCACGAATTGACACAGTTCAACCATAAATTTGAAACATTCGAATTTTACTGTGCTCTGTCTCTTTTACATGCATGTTAAAAAGCGAGTCAAAAAAACAAACCCCTTCGAAATTCGATTTTGGAATTCGACCTCAAAGAAAACACGTTTGGAAACGCGTAATACCCTAAAATTAAAAATATTTGTAATAAAGAAATTACTTTTTTTTTAAATGTTATTGTTTATATGTTTAGTTTATTATTGGATTTTAATAAAAATAAGTCTAATTAATAGTATAAAATTTGTATATAACCTATAACATTTTTATTTGGAATTTCAACATTGATACATTTGAAAAATAAACATCAGGGACGCGGTATCAAAACGCGATTTAAAAAAATAGCGAGAATAAAAATTTCACTGATGCTGATAGCGTATAGCGTAATGTATTAAACGTTATTTCAATCTATTCCTGTTCATTTCTATGTCTCCTAAGTAATATGTGTTCTCACTGCTGAGGTGAAAAGTTATGTGACCTACACGAGAGCAAAGTTTTTTGCATCTCGTGCTGTTGAGTCCCTGACTACGCTCAGGATTCTAACTTTGAATCACTCGCTACCCTCGTGAATCAATCATAGAATCCTCCACTTGCTCGGGACTCAAAATCAGCACTCAAAACAAAAAAACAACTTTGCTCTCTGGTTGCACAAATAACTATTGCATTCTATCTGGTGGTAGGGAATTTTGCACGGGTAGCCACTTTGTCTACTCATGCTACATTACGTTACGGTTTGTGGGGTGGGATATCATTTATGCTATACAATTGAGATTTAGACCTCAAGTTTCAAGATTGATGTCAACATTCTCTTAGTAATATCTATGGTCTTCAAAAACCACTTACTCAATAACTGAGTAGGTAAGACGAAAGCGAAAGCATGTTAAACAAACTCACTTCCGCATTTATGATATTATTAGTAAAGGATGGATTTTTTTTTATATTCTACATTAAAATCCTCTCATTAGCATAACGTAATAGGCACATTTATTTAAATGTACAATGCATTTTTTGTACAACAAAATAACTTCATTGTCACAATCTATATTTATTAGACCATAAACGTCAACTAACTTACACTTTGCAACACTTTAATATTCTTTTTTATTTACTTTCACGAGAACCAATGGTGTTAATACAGTCGGCCAATTATGTTTTATGACGATTGTAACTCTTTTTGTTATTATATTTCACAAGAAATTAGTTTAAACTAGGTTAAAATCGATTATGTGAAAATATTCTCGAGCTACACGAGAAAGTTTAATAACGATATGTTTTTTGCGGTATCTATCGTATTTACAATAAAAAAGAAGGTAAAAAGCAAACTGGAATTAAATGTACCTATGTATGTTTCAGGCATCGTTTTTGCCGCACAGGATCGGGCTTTATAACCAATTTCTTTTTACGAAGTATCATTAAGGCTGTACTCCGAACCCGTCACTTGCGATGAAGGGCTCGGCGAGTAAATTAACCCACAGACACAGCCCACCGAGTTTCTCACTGGATCTTCTCAGTGGGTCGCGTTTCCGATCCGGTGGTAGATTC